CTCAACTTTTAATAGACAAGAACTAAAATCTCCACCTGTAAGATTCAAGTTTTTTTTTATTTACCAACATTAAATACAAAATTTAATATCGTCTTACCAGGTGATGTATTGCCCCAACCTGTAGCCAGCACTTTTTGGGGTTCAAGGGATTTATCAACATTTAAGCAAATAGGTCTGACATAATCTGAAAATTGAACTTCTCTATCTAACCGGAATAAAGCGATATCATTGTATGAAATGTCTTCTTGATAGTTTGGATGAATTATACTTTGTATTATTTTATAATCGCTACGAAAATTATAATCACTACTATCTTCTACGTATAAAGCTCCAAGACGAATCCACTTCGCTTTTACAATGCTATGTAAAATAATAAAAAGGTTAAGCATTTAAAAATATTTGTTTCAATTAATAGAAACATACTTGGGAACACCTTCTATATGAATATCCTCCGGTAATATTACATACTCAACACAATGCGCAGCTGATAAAACCCAATTATTACTTATTAATGAGCCTCCACAAGTCCAATCAACTTCTTCAATCGTGTCTCCAAAGCCTATAAGAGCCTACAAGGATAAAATTAACTATTACCATAAATTAAACGCTCAATATTTTGTACATGATAGACCATAATAAACTTTTTATCTATTAGTTTATCAAAGTGAAAGTTTAAAATTTTTGAACAGAAAGAATTAATACGTATTTAGGGCTAACTTAAGATATTTTATCGCACCGGACAATCTCATAAAAATATCACCCTTAACCAAAGCCCTAGTTTCGTTAACAAATTTCAAACATTAACACAGTCTGGAAAAAAATTAAAGAAGGTAAACCCTTGGAAATTATAAAAATTAAATGATTATAATATAGATATTTTTTAAGAGAGGAGGAATTAAATCAGTTGTCTTCAACAATTTATTTTTTAATGTAAGTTTACAAAATATGCAATGTACACAACACATTTTTTATTTGAAATAAATGCAATTTTTAAATTGTGCGTTTGCATAATTTAATTAAATATTTAAATAGCATATATTTTCAATTAAAATTATACATGCAGTTTGAAATAAATTTCAAATTACTGTAGTTGAAACTCAAAAATACAGCACTCACGTTGAGTGCATAATATATAAATATCATATATAACAAATACATAAATCATATAATAAAATTCGGAAAAATGCACAACTCTATATTTACTAGACACAGTAATAATAAAAGTAATTATATAGTAATAGTAAATAATGAATTTAAAAAATAAATATAGTTAATTATAACTATAAATAAAAATAATTACTATTATTATAATTAATGGCATTAATTAATAACAGTAATAATAATTAATGTAAATAATTAATTTAAATAATAAATATAATAATTATCATATTTATACTTTATTTTTTGTGCATTATTTATTTACAACTCAAACTTTATGTACAATAAAATTTTCAACAACATAATCTTATTTGTATTTTAAATTAATTTAATTACGAATTTAGCAGTTTTTGTTGATTATTTATACATTTTATACTTAATTAACAAATTTGTTTAAAATAAAAAACTAGCAATTTATTGATTAGGTCATTATTTAATGAAATTTAAAAATTATGCGTTTGTGTATATTTTAAATGTAATCATTTTAATAAGGTAAAATTGAATCTGCAAAACATTTTTAATTAAATGCATTTAACATTTCATTTTTTTTTATATTCATCTGCAGTTATAACAAACTGTTTTCATATATTTTTTTATTACTTTCTAGTGTCTTAAAAAAGGTTCTCGTTGCACTTAATGAGATAAGAAACTATTGTTATGTGTCATTGGTGTACTGTAAACTACATTTCGAAAATTGAAAATGCATCTTTAAATGCATGTCAAAACAAACTAAAAAAATTAATACTTAAATGTATAAAACAAATATTTGTTGAGTATATAATATTGTATATACATTTGACATTTAAAATTTAATTTGCGTTAATTATTTTAAAAAATAGTTCTCTAAAGGGGTAAGCTGCTTTGAACAATCGATATTGTGCAAAGGTATCATGAAATTTAAATTATAAATTAAATGTGAATATAAAGACTTTAATTTTCTTAAATATAACAACGTAAAATAAAAATTGAACCTAATAATTTTTAATAATACAAATTAATAATCAACTAGTGTCTATAGTTGTTTAAATAAAAACATGTTAAACAATTATATAGTTAAAAAAGTAAGGGAATTGGTAAATTTTTACTTACAATGAGAACAATAGGAACCCGTTTCCTCATTTATTGAACACCTTATATACATATTTAGTTATATTATTAAAAATATATGTCATTATATAATATTTATTTTTATGTTAATTAGAGAAACAAATGAATGATTTTAGACCTTCACGCATCCCTATTTCCGCGTAAATATTTTTAATAAATAATTAATTAGTTTAATTTATTAAATCAATGAAATAAAATGTCGATTAAAAATTATACTTTAGGTAAATATGTTAACCTAAAAGTTCGGTATGAAGGTTAACTCGTTTTACAGTTATAAATAACCGTCTGTTCGCTATCGGATGGTGTCTAGTACTTGTTGTAACCGAACGTTCGTTCATGAACAATGTTCGCCATATTGACTTATGTAAAATAAAACGTAACGTTCACGAACGGACGTTTCAGAAATGGACTACTTTATATTCAGATAATTATTACCATGTGAGGAAATTCGGCACGTACAGCTTTTTTACCACCGACAATATAAGGCACAAAATCTGGAACTTCCGGTATTCTATGAACAAATTTAGAATATTTATGACACACTATAATAAATAAATTATAAAAACACTATAAAAACATGGACAATCAAAGGTATTTCAGCCAATTACTTTTGCCAGCCACTTGTTTTTGATCATCGGTCGTATTTTCTGGCCGTTTCGTTTCATAGTCCTTTGGTAGGCAACATATTATAGGATATGAATCATCAAACGAACATAGTATAGGAACGACGTGTTGTGGAGTTTGCCTTCTACTCTCAGGACATTCATCAAAACGGCGGCAATAAGAATTGGAAGTAAATTCATTATTTCCTTTTAGACATAATTCACCTATATAATATAATTTAAGTACCGAATTTAATTTAGTTATTCAGCTAATGGAAACTTGATATAAAATTATAATTTATCCATTAGAGTAGTGCAAATAACTCATTTATAAAAATTGAATAGTCGTACAAGAAGAGAATCAATAAAAATTAAAATTGTTTTGTACAACTAGTTAGTACCTGCGGTAAGATTTAAATGAAGAATGCTATTTCCTGAACTGAAAGTAAAATACAAATTGAGCAATACATTTAGAAATATGATAATTAGTTTAGACATATTTTAGAGAATAAAATCAAATGTATATTATATAATGCTCTTTAGAAAAATTTATTATTTATTATTTATTAGTCTATCGTTCTAAAAAAGATGCAGTTTATGAAATAGTCGTCAATTTATAGCAAATAAATAGATATCCTTATTACCTTATCATATAAGCTAGAAGTTAATTAATTATTATTAAGACTCAAAATTAATGGTATTTCAATGGCTAATTAATTCCCATAAACATATTCATCTGTGTGTAATGATTACAACTGACTTTTAACCTTCAGTTATCAATATTAAGCCAAGTTTGAAAATGAATTTTTAATTATTGCAATAATTAATTCATGATATGAGAACCAAAAAGTTCTATTACATACACAATTTTCATTAAAGATAGAGTCTTTTAGTTTGCAAACGATGAATTAGCGAATGCTAATATTATGGAATTTGTTACACTTCAATCAATGGCAATTTGTGCACAGGTATGTCGAGACATGCCTAGCACCCCAACATTATTAATAGCAATTTCTCATTCTTTTACGTTTTTTAATAGAAAAGATAACGGAATGGAAAGGGACACCTTACTATATGATCCACAGTATAGGCGATTAGTCTCTAGGAGATTACATTATAGTACCTCTTTTTTAAGTATGATAAAAATATTTAAAAGCCTAAAAATAGGATAAACATTACAAGTATGTTCGAAATTTTGTACAGATTATAATCATAATAATATCAATATTTATATTTTAAACTACAAGTATCTTATTTTATTTACATAAAATTGACTAGTATTTACAAATTACCTCAAAAACTTTAAATATATATTTTTTAAAGTGAGATTTTAAAAACAATTTGATTGTAGTTTTCAAATTAAAAATCAAGATAGCTTAGAAATCTATATTTCATTCCTGATTAAGTTTAATTTTGTAAATTTAAGCTGTTAAATGATTTAAAAGTTAAATGAAAAAAGTCGTAAGCTTATGTTAAAAAAACTATTTTATAAATATATTTTAAAAAAATTTCTTAAAGATATAAATTTTCTAATCTACCAATATTCAAAATTAATAGTGTGTTTAATATTTCCCTAAAAAATTATAGAAAACTTAAGAAATAAAAATGATAGCACAGTGGGTCGCGGCACAGTATGGACGTGAGATAGTTGGGACAAGTATAGATGATATCTGACAGTGATTAAAATCACTATCATAAGAAACGCTTCGATGCATATCTGTAGATAGTATTTAATTCTATGAAATTGGCGCATTATTACAAAAACATCATGAACCCTATTTTCTTAATTATATCCTGATTATTAGTTCTTAGATTTAAAAGTATAATTTATGAATAAATATTTATTATAGCAATTAAATATAGCATGATATCAATTTTTAATAATTTTGTGTTGTAATTTTTACGAAGAAATAATAAAAAATGATAAAGTAGTATATTTTGTTACTTCTATGACAAACATGTATAAAAATTAAAAGGTTTGATGCAATACTTAAAAAAAAAATAAGTGCTTTAAATTATAATTGATTATGGTTTTTAATATATTAAAAAATATCAGTGCAAAATATCACTTATAACCTATTTATTTGGTCCTTTAAAATTGATTTTTTGAAAGTTTATAATTAAAAAAAGTTGAATTTGTTACCATAACTTTTAGCTCAACTTGCAAGTTTGAAATTTACATCATTAATAGGAAAATTAAAAATTGTATTGATAATATTAATATACAGCTAGGAAATTTTATATTTACTATTTACTGTAAATTTACCAGAAAAACTCAATATTTTTTTTGCATTTTTTTACTGTAATTGATCACTTAAATAGAAATCATAGTATTCATTTCTAAGTAACTTTTAGTGTTTAAAAGATTTTACAATTGAAATATTCAGAAATTAATTATTATTAATAATTTACTTTAACTAAAAAAAACAATAAAAAAGTTGTTTGAAAAATCTACTAAATTAAGAAGCGTATTATAAAATTTGATTATAATTGTAAGAATTTATAGTTCAATTTAGTTGAAACTAAAAATAATTTTTTTTTAGAAACGATTTATATAGCAACATGTTACCAAAAAATTTGGAATATTGTAGACTGTTAGTAACACACAAAAATAGATTTAAAAAATTAATAAATTACAAAGTAAAATTATTTACTTTTGGCAGTTGAATACTTTTATCATATCAAATCTAATTGGACAATAAATACATTAAAAATATTAGAAATGAATGATTTTAATTGTTTATATTGAAAAAGCTGGTTAAGCAACTTTTTATTTGATAGAGGGATTTTTTTTTCAATTTTTGAGGGTAATATATTTAACTAGATAATAGTTGTGATCATTTGATGTATCGTTAAAAAACATTGGTCAAGTATGAGCTGAGAAAATAAATGAGAGCCACAAAAAAAAAATATCATAGTAAAATAATTTAAATATGAATAAAAAATATCTTCACACGAAAGGAGACTACAGTAATGAGATCCTTAATATTTATAGAAGTTATTAAATCTAAATGAGATAAAAATCAAATAAGTTAAAATTTTTTTCTAATTCAAAAACTTTTATAAAGGTATTTTAAAATAGAATATTTTTGAATATGGTAACCACTTTCACCATGAAGACAATCTATAGTTTGAATTTTTTTTTGTTCGTAGTAAGTATATTACATAAAATTTAATTTAAGATATACATAAAAGTGTCAGTATTTTCGTAACATTTTCAAAAATTAAGTTGAAAAAGTTCTACATTCTATATGCATTTTTTATTTTTGTTCCTCCACGTATAAAGGGAAATGGTTCGATTTAAAAAGAAGTATGTTGAATGAAAGATGTATATAAATAGCACTTCTCATGTAAAAACTCTATTGATCTATACATTTTTCAAAAAGTTATATAAATATAAATTTAAAAATATAAAATCGAGAATTTTCACACAAAAATATCATTTGGTAGTCATTTTCTCCGCGTGACAAAATAAAGTCCGAAAGTTTTTTTTTCCATAATAAAGTATATTACATAAGATTTAATTTAAGATATATATAAAAGTGTCAGTATTTCTGGAACACTTTTAAAAGATAAGCTGAAAAAGTTAATTTTTGTGAAAAAATTGTCATATAGAATCCCCTCTGTGGGCAGATAAAGAGTCAGATTTATAAAAAATGTATACAAAATAATAGATTTACCTATCATGTATCTATAAAAAAAAAATTATATCGATTTGTCATTTTTAAAAAAGTTATGGGAATTTTAAGTAAAAAAATAGAAATAAGTAGAAAATTAGCGATTTTAAAATTTTTAATATTTTTAGAGATTTCTCCCATTTCCTGGAATAAGGGAAATTTTGTCAATTTTTGAGGGCAATGTCTTCGACTGTATACATTTGTGATATTTTGACGTATCCTTGAAAGAAATCGGTTCGGTGAGAACTGAGTAAAAGTGGTAACAAACACAAAAAAAAAAAATAATGAAAAATAAAAAAAACACATCATAGTAAAATTAATACCTTCTCAGTTTCGCATCGAAGCTAAAATGTTAGGACATCATAATTTTATAACGTTTTTATTTTTAATGTTTATCTATTTATTTTAACTTTCATTTAACCTTTATATCGTATATTGAAAAACAAAAAAAAAGTAAAACCTATAAATTTATAGTTAATTAAAGTCAACAATATTTTTTTGTCAGTTAAATAAAAATTTTAGATAAGTGGATAAAAAAATTATACATCAAAGAAATATATTGTTCGAGTTACAAAAATTAAATGATTTAAAGATAAAAAAATTGCTGGCTGTATTTTTTTTTCAGTGTACAAGTAATACAATGTGTTGAATTAATTATCAAGATTTATACTAGAATTCTAATATAATTAGGAAATAAAAAATTGTTTTTACAATGATCTATAGAAATGTTTCATTCGTAGTGAATTATATCTGTTATGGTAATTTAATCTTTACTTAATTTTAAACAGGAGCAAATTACACAGAGTATGAATGACTGTAGGAAATACATATATTGAGTAGCATTTTACAGCATTTTATCTCGTAACTAATGATGAAAAATGATCATAATAAGTCTTCTTTTAAGTCAATTTTCTTTTTTAATTTTTTACATAAATGTAAAATGGATCTAAATTGGCTACTCTTAAATTGATCTTTTAAAATTCAATGTTTTCGGGTCAGTAAACGCATTATATTTATACTTGAACATGGCCAAACTTATTAGAATTAAGTTAAGAATTTTTGTCGAGTAGACATTTTTTAATTGAATATACAGGGTGTTAGTAAATGCTATATCACTAGTGGTAGGATGATATTCAGGAGGACCTAAAAATAGCGAAATCGAAAACTAAAATTTCTTATCTCCAAAATTGGGGGTTTTACGGTTCCCCCACTTTAAATTTTATTTTAATAAAAAATAAACATCACAACGGTATTTCCCACGAAATTCTCATACAAATTAAATGGTCACTCGATTTTTTGTAACTTTTGTGCCCTCCCCTGAATTTTGGGTTCAAAGTTGAAAAAAAATTTCATTTTAGTGTGACCCATCAATTTGTATTTAAATTTTACTGGGAGTTTTGTGATGCAGTTTATTTTTAGTTTAAACGATTACATAACGAGAAAAACTGGAAAATCCCACAGATAATGTGATTATATTATAATTTCACAAGTCTTTTATTATTTATTCAAACTGATTAACATTTTTATCATTAAAACTGTTATAAAATTATTATTTATTTTTCTTTTTAGTTCGCTCCCAATTTGCTGATACATGTCGAAACCAAAAATAGTCGTATTATGTTTTAGTATTTTAATACTATTGGTATTTTTTTTTCTCGATGTACTGTCTTTTAAATAAAAAAAAAAGAAATACTGTTTATAAGATTAGTTTATTTAAATTTGTATAACAAAAAACTTGAAATAAATGGTCGTTTTATAAATGAAAAAGTGTAAGTTTAAATTACATTTTTAGCAAATGACGCACATTAAAATCGTTTTACAATACAGGCTATTTGTTTACTATAGGTTATTCGTTTTTACTGCAATTTATCCATTTTTATTGCATAAAAAAGAAGCTATATTTT